GAATGCACAACAGCTCTTCCACATGAACAGGTAGATGCAGGATGTGTACATACATTCACCATGATGCATGCAGGGCTAGAGTCTCTCTCCCTTTCTCTCCCTGTCATGTTTTTCTGCTATCAGATTTAAACCCTAAGACCCTTTGGACAGGGACCTGTGTTTTACGGGTATGTTATGTTTTTGTTAAGCTGGTTCTCTTGAAACAATTAGAATATGGCTATGTTATTCTGAGGAAATCTGGCTACGTTCCCTGAAGAAGGCCTAAATGTTGGCTTAATGGTGCAACTCTTGAGGAAACGAGATGTGCTCTGCTCAGTGAAAGCCGTCTGACTGAGTGTGGCCTTGATAGCTCAGAGGAGCTATGAATGCTGACAAGAACAAGTGCCCTGAGTCATCCAGCCAATCAGGAGAAAAGACCAGAAAAGAAGACTTCTTCTACAGTTAGTTGGAGGGTTTCTGGACTCCACATTAAAAGTGGAAGAAAATACTAGGCTGAACGTGGTGGTGGTGGTAGAACGTGCCATTATGTTGCGGCCGATTGATGGTAACCAGATACAGTTTTCGAGACAAGAGACTTTCAGAGGAGGTTTGCCATTGCCTGCTTCTGCATCATGATCCTGGACTTCCTTGTTGGTCTCCCATCTAAATACTAACCAGTGCTGACCCTGCTTAGCTTCCTCCAAGAACTGATGAGATCAGGTTAGCCTGGGTTGTCCAGGTCAGTCAGGGCTGGATGCAGTCAGTACCAGAGTGATATGGCATACCTCCCGTTCTCCTGATTTTTAAAAAGGAATAATTAAGTTTTTTTTTTTAATGTAAGATACTCATCACACAATCCCTGAGATAAATGGTTAGATAGAATTGGTAAGGCATGTTCTGAAAATTGACTTTTAAAAGCTCACCTGGTATCCCCCAAACAAAGAAAAATGAGAAGAAGGCCCAGGGTAGCACCCATACTCAGGCTTTCTGTCTCACAACAAGGAGACCTCTAATATCCTTGAAACAGTTATTTCTCTTCCTGTTTGAAGGTGCTCTTAGTTCTCCTTCGTTGTGGTGGGTTTTTTTCTTTCAGCCACTATCTTTGTAGCCTTAAAGCCTCCTCATTACCTTCCCGTGGGAAGGGAGCAGGAGTTCTGCTCTATCAGCCTAAACCATCAACTAGAGCTGAAATGGGCAGTGGCTCTTTAAAGAGCGCCTTTTCCGCCCTTCTGGAGGCAAAACCACTCCTCGCGAGGAGCACACTTTGCCCTTAGGAGCTCAGGGGCGCCCGGCGGAGCCGGCAGGAGGTCGGGGAAGCTTTTGCGGGAAACCCACGGGTGGTGCGAGGGGGCGTGGCCCGTGCGGGGGCATGGCTCTTTAAAGAGCACCTATTTCGCCCTTATGGAGGCAAAACCACTCCTCACGCCTCGTCTCCCAGTGGCAAGGGCCTTCAAGGCAACGAACAATTAAAATGGCATTTTATTTTATTTTTGTTTTTAATGGACACAGAGAGACAGTTTGACAGTGTCTGAGCAAATCAGGTACCAACTTCTCCCTCCTAATTACCTTTCTAACTTTAGATGATCACAAGATGAGAAAAGCTCTCACCTTAGCTAGATGCTCCAGCCCTTCCCTCGGCTGTTCTCCAGGGGAGATACAGGAAGATACCTTTCGA